CACACACACACACACACACACACACACACAAATAAATAATGTTGCTTAAGAAAAGAAAGAAAAGGCAGTTGGGAGCCGGTTTGGTGATTCACAGCTATAATCCTAGTACTTTGAAAGTGGAGGAGGCAGGAAGATCATGAGTTCAAAACCAGCCTCAGCTACACAGCAAACTCTAGGCCAGAAAGAACAGAAGTGAGAGAGAAAGAAGCAGTAGCAAAGCAAAAAGTGGGTCAAAAGGAAGTAAGTGCTGAGCTCACTTCTATCTTTGTTGGCAATAAAAAGGCTTCTCCAGGTACTTGTGATATTGTTATATGTAGTCGGGAGGCTCAAACCCAGGTGCTCCAGCAACATACATCGCCAGGCCCTACTTACTTTTCTCAAAATGTAAAGCTTCTATAGATTGTCAGAGTCTTTCAGACAGCCACTCACTGGGGACATTCTGCGAAACTATCTATAGAAGTTGAAAGTGGATAATCAGCTCTGTGCTGTCTAGAGTGGCAGGCACTGACAGCCTAAAGCTTAACTTACTCCTCCTCTGTCTTAGTGTCCATATAATGACTCAAATTGTGAAATGATGATTTTTTTCCCTCAAATACAAGTTAGCCATTTCCTAACTCTTAACTCTGGGGTAAGCGGCCATCCACAGAGTACCCCAGCATCCACTGCCTAGCACTAGCCTAGAACATTCACTCCCTGTATTCTCCTGCTGCTTTAATAAGAAGATTGATTACCTTAAAAATCACAAGGTGATGCACGCCTTTACTCCCAGCACTCAGGAGGCAGAGGCAGGTGGATCTCTGTGAGTTCAAGGTCCGCCTGGTCTACAGAGTGAGTTTCAGGACAGACAGGCTCCAAAGCTGCACAGAGAAATCCTGTCTTGAAAAGAAAAAAAAAAAAGGAAGAAAGACAGACAGACAGACAGACAGACAAAAAAAAAAAAAAAGAAAAGAAAGGAAAAGGAAAGGAAAGAAAAGAAAAGAAAAGAAAAGAAAAGAAAAGAAAAGAAAAGAAAAGAAATCACGCACTATCAAGTGTGGTGGTACAAGCCTGTAATCCCAGAATTCAGCAATCAGGAAGCAGGGGCAGAGAAGAGGTTTAAAGCCAGCCTGGCTTACCTAGCAAGTTCCAGCCCAGCCAGGGGCCACATAGTAACATCCTAGCTTAAGGAAACAAAATAACAGGGCTGAAGAGAGAGCACAGCACTCACTGCTCTTCCAGAGGACCTGAGTTCAATTCCTAGCACCCACACAGTAGCTTACAACTGTCTGTAACTCCAAGTCCAGGGGACCCAACACCCTCAAACAGACATACATGCAGGTAAAACACCAATTCACTTAAAATAAATCATTAAAAAAGAAACAAAATAAAGTATAAAATACTAAATACATGGGCAACTGTAACAAGCAATTTTTTTTCTTATATTGAAAAAGGGCTTGCATTTAAAACAATGGCTTCTTATATTTGCCTAACAGGAGGTAAAGGCATTCATAGCCATTTCATTAATTTTAAGGTATAGAGGAGAAAGTTTTTATCATCCACTGCCCCCATACTGGGGGCTGTTTCTATACAGTCTAAATCTCTCCACTTCCCAAAACTCTTTTTTCCTTCCTGCCTTCCATTTCAATAAAATCAAAGAACATGAAATAAAATGTACATACAAGCAACCTGTAAGGAAGCACCAGATGCCATAAGGAGTGCCTCGGGTAAAGGGCACAGCCACGCCTCTCCTGGATCCTTTCCCAAGACACCAGTCAGCTCCACAGACACACTGGGAGTGTAAAGACCTTGTGTGTACGCGAGTGATGGTAGTGAGCACTGTGCACCTGTGGAGGTCAGGGGACAAGTGCAGGGTCAGGTTCAGTTCTAGTTCTCCTTTGAGGGCTTTGGAGATCCAACAGCCTGGCAGCACTCTCTGGCTCTCAAGTACTCAGAAGAGAATATGGACCTGCCACCACAGAGTTTGGAGGCTGAGGCAGGTGAGTCACAAGTTCAAGGCCAACTTGAAGCTGCTTAGAAAGGAGGGTAGGACCAACACAAGAAAACAGAAAGACTCCAATTTTTTTTTTTTTCCAAGACTGGGTTTCACTGTAGCTATACAGCCTGTCCTGGATCTAATCTAGCTCTTGTAAACCAGGCTGGCCTTGAACTCACAGAGATCCTCCAGCCTCTGCCTCCCAAAGGCGTGCACCACCAGCGCCCAGCAAGACTTCAAATCTTGCTAGGCAGTGGTGGCACACAGAGAGCACGTTCTAGGGCAGCCAGGGCTACACAAAGAAACCCTGTCTTGAAAAAAACAAAAACAAACAATAACAAAAAATGACCTTAAAACTATAATCCACCCTACCTACCGGGGTTCTATATAACGCCTTTAATTCCACACCACACACCTAGCTCATAGAGTACAAATAGTGCTCCCCTTACACAAAGCTACTATACTGGACCAGAGCTGGCTCTCTGTGACACAACGGTCACTGAGAGACACTGGCTGAGACAGTCACTTTACTAACTTCGAATGCCACAGTAATCATCTCTCCCTACCTATCTTACCCAAGAACTATAATTCCAACTCGACAAACACCCAGCATGCTGCCTCTTACCCGAGTTTGACTCTTCAGTTCTAAGGGGGTGGGAAGATTTGGGGGAGCCTCACACAGCCTTCAATCCCAGCACTGAGCACTCGAGGGGGACAGAGGCAGCTCTGTGAGCTCCAGACCAGTGGGCCTAGGTAGGCAGTGCCAGGAGAGCCAGGACTACATAGACTCTGTCTCAAACAGACAAACTTTGAAAAGCAAGAAAAGGAAGACCTAGCATGAGGACTGACCCATGTTTCTAACTCCAGCTGTCAGAACGCAAAAGCAGGAGGCGAAGAGTTCCAGGCCAGTCTGGAAGAAGTTTCAAGCCAGACTAGGCTTAGACAGCCAGATCCTGTCTGGAAACACACACACACACACACACACACACACACACACACACACACACACACACAGAGTCAGAGAAGGGAGGGAAGGAGAGGAGGGAGGAGAAGAGAAGGGAGGAGAGTAAGATCTGGGGAGAGGACCACAGCTGATAAGGAAACTGCCTGCTTGGGTGTCAAAGAAGATAAGAACAGGGGGGAAATGTGGGCCAGCTGTCAAGTACTGATCTATTAGGCAAAAGTATCATTTATCAACCATGACTTTAGAAATATGGCCTGAGGCTGAAGAGATGGCTTGGGGGGTTAAGAGCACCATCTGCTCTTCCAGAAGACCCGAGTTCCATTCCTAGCACCTACATCATTTGGCTTAACTGTCTGTAACTCCAGTTCCTGGAGACCTGGCACCTCTAGCCTTGGTGGGCATCTGCACACACAAGGACATGCCTCCACACAGGCATGGGCACGTAAACATGGGGGCATGCGCAAACACACTCATATACCCCCCACACACAGATAATTAAAAATAAAATAAATCCTTTAAGAAAAAAAAAAGGATAGTAGGAGGGCAGGCCGGGTGCACACTCATAAAAACTAATTTTTTCCTCTGCTGGCAGGGCTCACCATCCTGATTGCCTACTGGAGCACAAACAGTTTACTGTGCCCTGCTCTGCCTTGTCCTTTGTTCCTCCAGCTAGGCCAGGGTAAACTTCCTCCAAACTTCCTTCTAACCTCAGCTTTACAGCAGGGTTTCCTGAAAAGGGGGGGGGGGGCAATCTGGCCACCTGGCCTGACACCTTATCCTGTGACCATCAAAGGCCCTTGCTTCATGAAGAAAAGAAGAAATTTAACAAAAGAAATCTACCTTTCGTCACCCAAAAACTGTTTGCCCCAGACTTTTTTGTGATTTACTTATACAATTTTTCTCCAGAAAACCTGAAGAATGCTTTTCATTAGACCACAGCCAACCCATTTACCCTAACAGGTATTACCGTCAACATTTACCTTCTTTTCTTAAAAGAAAAGTTATGTGTCAAGTCAAACAAACATAGTAAAAGATTCCTCAGCCTGGGATGCTTCCTTCTGCTCTTTGGAACCTGATAAAGTTTTAATAATTAACTTGTGGCCTTCTCTCATTATGTATGAATGTGAGCACTTTTTGACCTAAAGAAGTATTAAACTGTTTTAATACAGATGAGCAAGTGAGCATATGCCACCTGCCACTGCCGCACATGGAGCAAGCTTTGTGAGCCCCCATGTGGGTGCTGGGAATTGAACTAGGGTCCTCTGGAAGAGCAGCCAGGGCTCTTAACCTCTGAGCCATCTCTCCAGCCCATGGAGCATGCTTTGTAAGCAGTACTTTTCCTTAAACAGAGTTTCTCATTTAGCAATTGGTTCCTAGCAGTGTTGCTGAGTAAGGAACAGCAGCTTCCTCTGAACTTCTGGGGTCTCCCAACTAAAGGGAATTAAGAGGGATTTTAAGGCTCATAGAAATATGTACTTGCATAGCAGAAAATGAAGGCATCAGACAAAACAGCACCTAACCAGGCTCTTGGCTGCAAAGTCAAACAGAAAAAAAGATCTTACTTTGTGGATACAATTTTCTCTGAGTCACAGCTGAACCAAAGCCTCCAGCCAGCTCTGCTGTAACCCGAGGAACCACCGCTTTCCTCAGAGTAGAATCTTAAGAGTCACATGCAGCTTCCCTGTTCCTCAACAAGAGGTACTGCCAGGGTGTTCAGAAATTCCCCTTCTGAGTCCCACAGGCCTTCCGGAAACACGCGAAACCACGTGTGCAGCAGTCCCAGCCTTTTAGGTATGTGTCCAAAATAAAACCAACTCAAGAAAGACTGATAATACATATCTAATAAAAAGACACCAGTGAAATCTCATAGGCTACATTTAATAACACAGCTACTGCAAAAATAGCCTAAAACATTATTTTCCACGTTCATTTCATAAGCTAAGCAGAAGCCAAGCCTGAGTGGTAAATGCTTGTGACTGATCTCAGCACAGAGGCAGAAGGATCGCTGCAAGTTGGAGGCCGACTTGATCAAATTCTAGACCATTAGAGATATATAGTAAGCTCCAGTCTCAGAAAGAAAAGACAAGGATTAAGAAGAAACTGTTAGCACAGCGCCTGTCTTCACCCGTAATTAACTGCACTTTCAGACTAATAACATGGCTAGGAAGCACTGGCCTGGGGAACCTCTGGCAACAGCCCAAGAGATTCCGGGCAGAGACTCCTGAGAAGGTCAAAGCCAGGTAACAGCAGGCACGAGCAGGCAGTAATAAAAACACCTGGTGGCAGAGGACTGGCCTAAGCACTTTGCTTTACATGTATTAGCTAATGTAACGCCGACAACCTGTAAGGTCCTGCCGTCACCCCACGGAAAGTGGTGGGACAGAAGAAAGCCTAAGCCAAGAAGTGATGGAGATGCCACGGTGGACAAGGTGGACAGCTTCCAGTGATTTCCCCACGGGCCACACGGAAGCTCCTAGAAGCCCACCGACCCTGGCCATCTCTCCCTCCATATGTTTGCTTTCGATGCCTTGAATCCCATCGTTGAAAAGCAAAGAACAACGGAGGATCTCCGTATTACACAGCGGAAACTCAACCTGTGTCCTGAGGATGCCCTTCCAAATAGTCTGACACATCAATGAAGTCCTGGACCAGAGAACCGACATGGACAAAGAATCTAAAGGAGCAATATCAAACAAGCGAGCTTTTAAAGTACCGGGCCTAGGAAACCGCTGAGAAGGGGCGCATCCATCGCGCGCGACGTGTCCCGAATGAGGCCTGGAAAGCGCAGGGACCCTGGCAGCCCTCAACCTCGAGGCCTGAGGCCTTCCTGCCAACAGCGCAGCACCGGCGGCCGCTGGGCTGACAGGGTGCTGCGCTGCGGGAGGCCGCGGGCAGACGGATCCCCGGGCTCCGGGAGGAAACTGCGTCACGGATCTCCCCCTCCGCGTCGCGCCGGGTCTGCGCACCCCTGACCCGGGACGCCTCCCGTCAGGCCAGCCCGGAGAAGGGCGGTGGACTGGTTGTCCCAGGTCGCGGGGAAAGGCCGAGGCCCGTGACCAGCAGCGCCTGTGCCGACCCCGGGGCTCTCGCGTCTCCTCGGGATACGAACTGTCCGCCGGCCGTGCCTCGCCCGCCCGCCCGCACAAAGCGGAACGCCGTAACCCCTGACCCCGCCAGCACCTCGGCTTACCTGCTCGGCCACCACCTGACACGCCACGCCGGCGACTCCATATCCCAGAAGCCAGCAACTAGCTGGTCAATCTCCTGCCCTCCCGCGATTGGCCGGCAGGACGGGAGCCTTACTTCCTGATTGGCTGGACTCCTGCAGCCCAGGAACAGCGTGGCGGGCGGACCGGGCGCTAAGGCTCCGCCCACCCATGCTGGATCTGGGGGCGGGGCCTAGTTGGGGCGGGTCCGAGTCGGAGGCGTGGCCCGCTCCAGCCCTGGAGTTCAAAAGCAGCGCGTTCGGCAGGTTGGCAACCCCCAGCCCGGGAACGCTACGTACATTTTTGTCATAGTTTCCACCATCTCTTTTTAAGCAACCACAAGCCTGCTTCCTCCGAAGAGATGATGACTACGAGATACATCTACAACCGACAATAAGGCACCATGGCAGCCTTTCTTCGTCTGGCTTCTTGGGCCACAGCGCAGTGTCCACTGACGCGCCAACAACACCCCATGTCTGGGAGGAACCGCGAAACTTCGACCAGCGGAGCCAGTTCGGCCGCACCAGCCCTCCTCCTCCTCCTCCTCCTCCTCCTCCTCCCAATCTCTCAGTGAGTTGTCCTCCATCCCACCTAGCTTTGTCTTCTCCCCCACACAGTATCCTGCCATCCCCAAAGCAGTCCCGCTCCATCCCCGGACTCCCACCTCAGAGCCTCTTTCTGTAGAGACGAAGAGGGGAGACTAAATGGCCAGACAAGTCCTCCAGCTTGCCTGGAAGAACCACCCCACCCGCTTGGTTCTTGTTTGTTTTTGTTTTTGTTTTGTTTTGTTTCCGATTTTCCCTTCTGGCTATAGCGGTAGAGAGGACAGCGCTGTGTTCTTCATGTAGAAACTGCCGGGAGAAATGTAAGAACGGAGACAGAAAGAAAGCATAGACCCACAGAAACGGAAATTAAAAGATATGATAACAAAAGCAAACTGTGTACAAAAAGAAAAAGGCAAACTTCCGCACCCTGGTAAGGGCTGCAGCTTTCCATACAGAGTGGTCTCCTGAAAGAAAAGAGGCACAGGTTAGTTCTGGACAAGCACCCTCTGGCCCACAACCTTCTCTGAGACCCTCCGTTGCATCTAGAAAAGAAAAGGATCGGGGCTGTTGGTGTCAGCTTCGAGGTGTGCTCGGCCGGAGCGTCCCTGTCGCTAGCTGCCCACTTACTTAGCTCACAGTTGGGAGCAGCTGCTGCGGCCCTGGGCTGCCTCTTCCCCATGGTGCAGAAGTGCTTTGATTTTTTGCGGAGCAGCGCAGCGCCTATATATGCGGACTAGAGCGCCTCCCTTGGTGGGAGATGAGACTAGAGGTGGGTCAAGAGTGAGGAAAAACTTAAAACCGCACCCTCTAAAGCATAATCAAATTTCATCTTTGCCCGGCAGTGTATTTCTGCCACTCCTAGTTATTAATAACAATTAATTGAGTTAAAGTTTTCTTCTGAGATTTCCTTTCTGTGCCTCTCCGAAGGGCGGGGCCTGGAGGCTATGGGTGCGGTGAAGGAAATGGGTGGAGGGAACTGCTTTCTTCTGGCTGCCGCTCCCCTGGGAGTCGGGACGCTGGTTCGGGACAGCTTGCAGACTAGGACTCTGCCCCTCTGAGACAAGAGGTAAAACCAATTAACCCGAAGCCTGACAGGCCACATGTATTTTCCACACAATAGTACGTGCGATACCGATGCAGTTAGAAGGCCTCTCAAAGTATCAGTGGAAATGCCGCCTGGTCTGTTTCTCTGGATCTGAAGGAGCCGAGGGCATTAGCTCTCAATCAGTGATCTGCCGGCAAACAACAAAGTGAGCCAGATCAGAACTGAGTACCTGGTGGAAAAGAAAAAGTCCTGAAGCAGCAAAACAGAAATTTAGGGCAAGAATTTCTCAGTGAGGGAGAAGGGGAGCTTGAAGAATGGGGGAATTTGCCTCCTGGAGACACTGAGACTTACCTCAGAGTAAATGGGAAGAAGAGCAGTTGATCCAAACCACCAAGATGGGCTGCATGCACATTTACCCAGGGCAGTGCTCGACACATCCCACATAAAGTCCTGGGGCTAGGCCATTCAGCCACCAGAAGTCCTACGGCAAGATGTGATCTGCTTCCAATTCTAGTGCTATCAGACCATTCCCCAAGTCCAAGCTGCCTCTGCAGATTAAGCTGGGGACAGCTTGTCCTCCTTAGAAAATAGAAGTATCCATAAACCGCCCATGGAATAGAATCTGGCAGAAAAAAAGACTCGAGTTTATGATTTCTAAAGAAGTGGGGCTGAGGACATAACTGAATGGCAGAGTGGGTGTGCCCCACCGTGTGTGGGGCTCTGGGTCCCATCGTTTTACATACACACACACAAACACACACACACAAATCATGCCAGTCTTGGTGATACACGCCATTAATCCCAGCAGAAGCTCTGAATTCGAGCCAACCTGGTCTACAGAACAAGTTCCAAGACAGCCAGGGCTACACAGAGAAACGTTATCTTGGAAAAACAAAACAAATCATGGGTTTTACAGAACCACCTTCAGGTTTTCTTCCACCGCGCTCAGGGACTGAACTCTTTTCTATATATGACACAAGCAGCCATCAAGTCTCACAAAATCATGAGACAGGAGCTATTCTCTTGAGTTGGGAGATTAATCAGTAATTTATGAGGGTTAACTGATTTGCCTAAAGACTTGTTATTGGCCAGCAAAGATAGATTTCAAACACAGTTCATTTAGATGTGGCAGCCTGCACTCAGTGTCGGCTCCGTTTTGTACATAGAGTACTATTCCCTTCCAATAGTTCATATGACAACAATGGAAACACGTTTCTGTACAGATAGCAGTATCTATGGGTAGCATGGGAATATGGGGTCCACCCTCTGCTCCCCACCTCCCCGAGAAACAGGGTTCCTCTATGTAGCCCTGGCTATCCTGGAACTCATTCTATAGACCAGGCTGGCCTCAAACTCAAAGATCTGCCTGCCTCTTCCTCCTGAGTGCTAGGATTAAAGGCATACACTGGCCGGGCAGTGGTGGCGCACACCTTTAATCCCAGCACTCAGGAGGCAGGTGGATCTCTGTGAGTTTGAGGCCAGCCTGGTCTACAGAGTGAATCCCAGGACAGCCAGGCATGCACTGTCACTGAAACTGCTACCACCACTGGGGCCATGCCCAGCTCTTAATATGAATTTTCCCAAAAACAAAAGTTTTATTTTTAATCATGTGTATAATGCTTTAAAAAAAAACTTGTAAAGATTGGGGACTGGAGAGATGGTTCAGAGGTTAAGAGACTGCTCTTAATGGGTCCTGAATTCAATTCCCAGCAACCACATCGTGACTCAACTATCTATAATGAGATTTCGTGCCCTCTTCTGGCCTGCAAGTATAATAAACATATACAGAACACTGTATACATAATAAATAAATAAATCTTAAAAACTCATTATTTTATTTGTTTTGTGTGTGTGTGTGTGTGTGTGTGTGTGTGTGTGTACTGTGAGTACAATGCCTGCAGAAGGCTCATGACCCCGGAACTGGAATATAGAAAGTTGTAACGTGGTCCTCTGGAAGAGCAGTGTGTGTTCCTATTGCACGTACCTTTTATTTAGGGGTCTTTTCTAAGCTTCCCATTCACACACTCCAAGAATTCCTTCATGCTTTCATTTTCTCTGTGACTTCCTAAACTTAGCTACCACTGCCATTGACCACTGTTACCTGGAAAGTTACTCTTTAGGGTTCCTCAAAATCACCCATGGGGCCAAAGAGGAAAAATGTTAGCAAGGAAAGCCTGGTGTGAAAGACCCTCGGAGAGGACTTCCCTCGAGAGGAGACTCCCCCAAAGCCAAGGAACAGGCTGAGACCACACAGATGCAAATAGCAAGAGGTTTATTGGGTAAACACAGGTACCTGCGCCTGCAGACTGGGGGGAGGTCTTTTTATAGAAAAGAGGGCGGCCAAAAAGCAAATTACAGAAGCAGATGCATGGTTATCGGTCTGATTAGAATGGGGCAGGGGGCATAAGTGGTTTTTCCTTTTCCCACACAGATGTATCCTGCTTTGCAGTCAGAGACCCTGACCTCATAAATATCCTGCTTTGCAGCCAGAGACCCTGACCTCACTCTGTACTTACAATTGTTTGTAGAGCCTTGTAAAATGATGTTACAGCAGTTAAGCTGGGGTCCTATATAGGGGGAATTGTTTCTTTTGTAAACTGCTGATATTTTAAGTTTGGCACATGTGCTGACTATAGGCATCCTGTTTTCCTACGCGACCGGGATGTTCTCATGAGAGTGGCTAGCTGCAGGTCCTGAGAGGGTCCTGAGGGTCTCAAGCAAACAGGATGTTCTCATGAGAGCCGGCTAGCTGTGGGTTATGGGGGGGGGGGGTCTGTAGGGTCTTTCAGGTGAACTGAGCCTAGGAACCAATCCAAAGGTGGAAGGGGAGAACGAACTCCCCAGTGCTGTCCCTGATCTCCACACATGCACACCATACCCTTACCCCCAATACAACAGTAATATAGACATTGAAAAGCAGCTCTAAGTCGGGCAATGGTAACACAAACTCTTAATCCCAGCGCTCAGGAGGCAGAAACAGGCAGATATCTGTGAGTTCAAGATCAATTTGGTCTACTGATATAGCTCCAAGGAGAGCAAGGGCTACACAGAGAAACCCTGTCTCAAAAGAACAAAACAAAAACAACTCTGTGATTGTCTTCTGACTCCTCTAGGCAACATTGATTACTCTTAAATTCTAGAGACTACCCAGTATGGGGAGCAGAGGAGCCCTGCGTGATGGACAGGGAGAAATGTGTTCTATTGACCGGGACCCTGAGGCCGCAAACCCATGGGAATTGGCAAAGCTCCCTCTGGTCCCTGTGGGAACGTTCACAGAAGGGACAAGAAAGCACGGACTGAGCTCCCTCCGGGAAGTTTACAGCCTGAGACTGCTCTCCTGCAGAGACCTCCCACCTAGTGAACAACCCTAACCTTTCCTCCTGTGCTCATGTAGCAATCAAGCCAAGGCTCTGAGCTCTCTGTCAGAGCTTCCAAGGCCCTTTCAACTCAGCTGTGTCTGTGTGCCTGTCCTTCACTCCCTTGTAGCCCCTGTCAGGTACCCAGAACCAAACCATGTAGGACTTTCAAGCTTAACAAATTAACTCATTTTCCCACCATTCGCTAAGCACCCAGCGCAGGCTGGGCGCTGCACGTACAAGCAGAGATAACAGAAGCACAGGCCATCATTGTTTATTGCTTTGTACTTTTTCTCCCAATAAACTGAGCTTTGAATAGAGAAGACTGAGCTGTGTTTACCCAATAAACCTCTTGAGATTTGCATCCGTATGGTCTCGGCCTGTTCCTTGGCATGGGGAGGTCTCCTCCTGAGAGAAAGTCCTCTTCGAGGGTCTTTCAAATGCCAACACATCGTCTACTGGCACTCAGACCCCCTTTGAGAACTAAGAACTTTTTAGGTGAAATAAGAACTTATTTCACCTAAAAAGTTCTCCGGCAGCTCAGGCTGGTCCTGAACTTGCCATGTGGTCCAAATTGGCCTTGTGAGCCTCCTACCTCAGCCTACTGTGTGCTGGATCACAGGCATAAGCCGAATCCCTGCTATAAGGACTTTGTCTTTTCAGACAGGGTCTGGAACTCACTTTGGAGAAATTTACTTTATGGAACAGGCTGGCCTCCAACTCAGAGACCCAACTGCTGACCTCTGCCTTCTGAGTACTAGGATTAAAGCTGTGTGCCAACACACAGCTATGAAGGACTTATTATTCCAGCTGTTGGTGGTTGAAGTGCTGCTGGCAGGTGGCCTTTGGGTGTCTGGTCCCACCCCATTCCTCACAGCCTACATCCAGTGGGCATGGTCCAATACAGTTCAGCTGTTCCCACCCAGTCTTGCTTCCTTTGGTTCCCTCATAGTCAGGGCCCAGTTTTCTTCCTGATAAACCTCCCAGTGCAGTGTTGGAGTTGGCTCCCCTATTTCTTCTTCTGGTAGCTCAAGGTCAAGGTCAGCTCACTCTACCCTGTCACTCTAATTTGTTGTGAATCTGGAATCACTTCCTCTTCTACCTGTGCCCCCGTCTGTCCCCCTCTCCCCGGCTGCCATCATCCTGTGCCCCCGTCTGTCCCCCTCTCCCCGGCTGCCATCATCATGTGCCCCTGTCTGTCCCCTACTTTCCCTACTTCTCTGCTGCTCCTCCCTGGAGGCATTCCTTATAGGCTTGACCCATTGTCCTAATACACCAGCACTAGAGACATTCCAGGCAAAGGATGAAGCTGTGGAAAGAACGTCTTAAGATAAGACTAAGCTGAATTTCACCTCCAGCTGCAGGGAGGGGAAGAAAAAAATCTGTTTCTTATATATGTTTCCTTGAGACAGGGTCTCAAGTCTGGATCTTGAACTCCTGATGTAGCTGAGGCTGGCCTTGAGCCCTGATCCTCCAGGCTTCACCTCACCTCGCAAGCACTAGGGTGGCGTGTTTATGTCACCATGGCTAGTTTGTTTCATTTCTGAGGGAATGTTCTTACGCTCCCTGGCACTCAAATACGGTTCCTGTGCTGGAACACTCCAGGGTTCACTGGTCTAACTCCTCACTTGCTCTCAGGGTCTCATGGCAGCCTTCCTCCTGCAGAGCCCCCCAATCCACCGTAAGGAGGAGAGGGTGTTTCAGCTTACAACTCTCAGGTCGCCCTGTCACTGAGGACGTCAGGGCAGGAACATGAGACCTGGGCTGAAGCAGAGGCCATGGAGAATTGCTATTTACTTGCTCCTCATGGCTTGTTCAGTGGCCCTTCCCCACCAATTATTAATCAAGAAGCTGCCTTACAGACTTGCCTACAGGCAATCTGATGGAGAGTTTTGTCAACTGAGATTTCTCTTCCCAGATAACTCTCCCTGTGTCAGGTTGACGCAAACTAACCAGGACACCGCTCGCTCGTAATGACTGCAATGTCTGATCAATTTATCTCCCTCACCCACTTAGGAAGGGTTAGAGGCTCCCAAGCAGCTTACAACACTAAGGGAAGGAGGAGATGTGAGCTCATGGTAAATGCCTATTTCCTGAAAATGTGTGCATAGGGAGTGGGGGGGTATACTTTTTTTTGGAGAGTGTCTCACAGTTTAGTCAAGCTGTCTTCAAATTTGCAATCCTCCTGCCTCAGACTGGAATTACAGGCAAGCACCACCACACCGTCTACAGATTCCCTACCACACAGCAACAGCCTACTACACATGACCACCATACAAATCTTGGTTTGCATGGAATTCCGTACTTCCATGTTTTCTAAATACATCTGGCTCTTTCCTCCGGCGGGGCCCCTTCTGCTGTCTCTAGTTTACTATATTGTAAGTATCATGAAGTTTATTATTGTACAGCGCTTAGGTGGGAGAAGTAGGTGGATCTCTGTGAGTTTGAAGCCAGCCTAGTCTAGATAGTGAGTTCCAGGACAGCCAGGTCTACACAGGAAAACCCTGTATCAGAAAAAAAAAAAACCCAAAAGATTGTTATTATACATTACATGTTATTCATTGTACCTTAAACATGTTTAGCATATCAATTGTGCTCAATACTTATGACATCAAATTTTAGCTTGGATTTGATACTGTATATAAGTTAATTGTAACAGTTATCTTCAAATCTATGTACACAAGCATTGTTTTATTTTATTAATTATTTTATTCTTCAAAAATTACATATTTAAGCCAGGCGGTGGTGGCACACACCTTTAATCCCAGCACTTGGGAAGTATAGGCAGGTGGACTTCAGTGAGGCCAGCATGGACAGTCAGGACTGTTACACAAAGAAACCCTGTCTTTTTTTGGGGGGGGGGAATTTCCAGAAGAGAAATTTAATCTAATTTACATATTTCTATGTACATTGATAACCAAAAGATGGCCACTGAAAAAGGTTAAAAGGTCAATTAGCTCCCGGTATCTAGCTGGCCCAGGACTGGAAAATAAAAAGATCCACGTTCCTTATTTTCTACACAAAACGCATTTTTATTAAAAAAAAAAAAAGTGAAAGATCTAGGGAGCTCTACATAGAAAGCAACAGTGAAAAGGGGAGTGTGGCAGGGGTGGAGAGGAGAGCCCACCCCTCACTCTACCCTCCCAGCCCTGGAGCCCCTGAAGCTCTGTCATGGCAGGAGGCAGCAGTCAGCTCTGAACTCTTCCAAGCTAGGAAGGCCCCCTTTGGGGGGGGAGGGCAGCCAGCAAGAATTTCCGTGGGCTCAGTGGGGGCTCAGTGGAGGCTCCCAAGCCCTAGTAGGTTAGCAGAGGGAGCGTGGATTCCCCTGAGCAAGCACCGTGGCATGACGTGGTTGTTTGACTTGGGAACTGTGGGGGCTAGGCCAGATCCCAGGTCTCACGAGGTGCGCGTGTGTTATGTTTGCCCGTGCATGAGTGAGAATAGATATTCATGGGGGCAAAAGGGAACAGGGGTGTTTGGGGTCTTTGCAAATGGCCACGGATGGCAGACATAGCCCTGCCTGGTTGCTAGACACAGGGAAGTGCTGTTCTCCCCTGTAACCAGATTGGCCACCACCAAAGGCCTGGCTACTGCCCCTGCTGGACCAACCCAGGTAGGCTCAAAGAGAGTACCCTTGTGGCCCCAGAGTCCTCAGGCTGGGGGAAGGTGGCTAGCTGGCTCCCGGCGCCCAGGACGTAGTGTGCCCGGCCCCCAAAGGGCGCCGGTTTGAGGTTTTGGCTTGCTCCTTTGGAAACAGAAAAGAAAGAGGGAAATGGGAAAGGACACAGAGGAGAAACAGGAGGTGACAGGTGGCACAAGAGGGGATCTGGAATGCATGTTATGTTAGGGCGCCTCTACAGCTGCTGTCTGTGCTGTGGGGCCTGGGGCTCCTCAGGCAAAGGGTCTGCTTTGGAGACGTTCATCTCCAGGATGTGCCGCTGTAAATGCCGCACCCACTCTTCCTGGATGGAGAGTGGGCCCTGGAATTCCACTTCACAGAACCTGCACTTGAGGGTATAGATGTTGCCCACAAACTTGACCAGTGATGTCTGGGGGGGGCGAGGCACCAGGGAGGGTACTGGCCGGACCCGGAGTGGGGGTTGCCGCACCTCTTCCAGCTTCTGTTGCAGGTCATTGGCATCCTCACCACCCCGAGCTGCAGAGGCATCTGGTGGGCCGTCTTGTCTGCGTTCAAATTTGTTGATATTTTGCCGTTGGTGCTCCTCTGACTTCACGGTCCCGGGTGGTCTGGTTGCCAGAGGCCGTTCACCACTGTCAGCTGCCCTGCCAGCCTCAGGTTCCCCCCCAGCACTTCGGCCAACCCGGGACAGGCCCCTAGATGTCAGCCCCAGGGGTGGCCGTTTGTCACCGTCATGGCCAGCACTGCGGAACTTCTTGGTAAAGGGGCGGCCACTCTGGATGCAGCTTTGGTAGGCACCCACTTTCTGGGGCCGGTGTTTGATCCACTCACTCAGCGTCTCAATGGGAGAGCCGTTGACACACCACTTTGTCACACCGGACTGCTGAAGGTGTGCCCTCTCATGGCTGGCTAGGGCTTTTCGGTTTTCAAAGTAAAGGCCGCAGAGCTCACAGCAGGCCTCGGTGGAGGAGTGGGAGGTCTTCTCAGGGAGAGTCTTTGCCTTGAAGGGCAGTTCAGTCTGGATGTAGGTCTTGGCCTTGACCTCTGCTGGGAGGACGCGATCCTCCTGTAGGGGCCGTTTGGTAGCCACTGGGCCCAGGTAGCTGGTGGTAGAAGGCTTAGCCCCGGTGATGGGCGACAGGCTGAGCTCCCGGGGAACCTGGGCCGGCCCAGCTCCTGGTTTTCCAGGCCGGCTAGCCAGGTGTGACAGAGGCAGTGGGGAATGCATAGCCCCTGGAGCTGCTGTCGGGGAACCATCCTCAGCCAGAGCAGGAGCCAGGTCTCCAGCTGGAGGCTCTTTCATGATGAGGCGCAGCTTGGACTTCTTCTTCAGGATCTTTTGAAGTGTGTCAATAGGTGAGCCATTGACAGACCACTTAGTCACACCCATCTGGCGCAGGTGGGAGCGAGCGTGGCTGGAAAGGCCCTTGCGGTTCTTGAAGAACTCACCACAGAACTCGCAACGGATGTCACGTACTGGCTCTGCCCTGGATGATAGGTTCAAAGGTGCCATATCTTCTCGAGGCGTGCCCCAGGGACCCTCAGAAGGGTGTGGCTCCCCATGCAGGGCCCCGGGCAACATCTCCCGCTTGATCTCTACTCTCATTTGTTCAGGTTTCAGTTTCTTGGGCAAGGAAGGAGTAGCAAGGCCTGAGAACATCTTCCGGGCCGTGGGAGGAGGAGAAGCAGTTGGTGAGTGGCCCAGGGGACTGCCCGGTGGCGGTGGCGACTTCTTGGCCAGGGGTGAAATGTGACGATCCGAGGGACTGCGGGCTTCTAGTGAGCTGCCAGGACCTCCGCTACCCACCACCTTGGCTAGGGCTTTGGGGCTAGGCCCTGGTGGGTGGAGGTGTCCACCTGGCCTGGATTGGGTCCGTCTCTTCAGGATCTCCCGCAGTGTGTCAATGGGTGACCCGTTCACAGACCACTCAGTCACACCCATCTGGCGGAGGTGGGAGCGCGCGTGGTTGGACAGGCCCCTTGGTGTCTCAAAGCAGGCACCGCAGACCTCACAGGTGGTCAGGCTCTGGGCCTTGAGGTCTGGCAGCTCCTGTTTGCTGCCATGAGGAACCTCTGCAGCCACTTTGCTGCTCAGCCGACTGGCCATCGGCTCCAGGGTCCCAGAGACAGGCAAGCTCTTCTTTGAGAGTAAGGGAGACCCCAAGTCCATGGCCACCATTGTGTTTTTCCTCAGAACAAAGGCCCGGCGCGGGCACGGGCCCGGGACCCTGCTCTGGCTCGGCCTTGGGCCCGTCCTGCGAAGGCGGCGGCGCCGGGAGAACCACCGGGCCTGGACTCGGGGGACTTGGCGAGGGCACCCCCGTGGTCGCGCGCTCCCGGGCACCCCCCGCGCGCGGCCCCGCCGCCGCCTTGCTCTCAGCTTTTGCCACTCGACACTGGGCGGTGGAGGCGGCCATCTTGGCTCCCAGAAACCCTGTCTTGAAAAAAAAATGTATTTATTATACATACGTGAATGCAAGTGCATATTGCCACAGCACATGTATGTAGGTTACAGTGTGAAGGCCACAGCAGACCCCCTAGGAGTCAGTTCTCTCCTTCCACCATGGGGCCCAGAGATGAAACGCAGGTCCGCAGGCTTGTGTAGCAGGAACCTTCCCTGCTGAGCCATCTCAGGGCCCAAGAGCGCATTAATGCACTCCTTTATTGTGATGTCAACTGTATGAGTCCTAGGGAGACAGACAGACAGCTTGCCTAGCATTCAAAAAGCTCTAGGCAGGTTTTCTGCCACAAACAAAAGACAAAACAAACAAAAATAAGAGTAAGGTAGAAAATACAATGTAATCACAATACTTTGGAAAGTGAGGCAGGAGGATGACAACTTTGAGAACAGCCTGAGCTATGTAACAAGACCCTGTATCTGAATAACTAAATAAATAAATAACAATTAATAACTTACTACACCCATACATAACATGGGAAAATTCCTCAAGTACCGAGCAAGATTCTGATCTGCAGAACCTTATGTTCATCATGGATGTATGTAAACTGAGTTGATTCAAAACATCTTCTTGTAAGAATCCATCAAAAAGGTGGGAAACGACATTGTAATACATATGTAGTACGTAACACATTATTCTGATCAGTGAATTATATGCTCTCTGCTGAGGGAAAGAAGATTCCAAAACAGTCTGAGGGTGCCACCTGTTTTCTGTCCATCTCTGGGAAGCTGCCCTAAGCAGAGCACAAACCACATCCTGCCTGAAGTGACCCACTCTTCTACTAGGAGGGAAAATAAGCACATGACAAACCTAGACTAGAAGAAAACATAGGCTGAGCCGGGCAGTGGTGAAGCACGCCTTTAATCCCAGCACTAAGGAAGCAGAGGCAGGAGGATCTCTGTGAGTTTGAGACCAGCCTGGTCTACAGAGTTAGTTCAAGGACAGGCTCAAAAGCTACACAGAGAAATCCTGTCTCCAGGATCAACATCAACAACAAAAAAAACACACAGAAAGAAAGGAAACAAAACATGTGCTTGTCAGTGCAGCAGTGCAGTGCTGTGCTCGGTGGTGCAGTGTTGTGTGATGCAGGGCAGTGTGGTGCAGTGTTGTGTGGTGCAGGGCAGTGTGGTGCAGTGTTGTGTGGTGCAGGGCAGTGTGGTGCAGTGTTGTGTGGTGCAGGGCAGTGTGGTGCAGTGTTGTGTGGTGCAGGGCAGTGTGGTGCAGTGTTGTGTG